CCCCCTTTGTGAAGTAGTCAATAGCGACCAACATGAATCTATGCCCATTCGAAGCTTTTGGCTCGATCGGCCCAATGACGTCCATACTCCAGGCAACAAATAGCCAAGGTGACATGGGATGCAACTCCATAGGTGGTGCATGAATTAGATCATCGTGCACCTAACATTGATGACATTTACGGACAAAACTAGATCAATCTTTTTCCATAGTCATCCAATAATAGCCCGCTCGAAGGATCTTCTTTGCCAAAACATACCCGTTCATGTGGGGTCCGCACACTCCTGCGTGCACTTCATATATGATTCTTCCGGCCTCTTCGGAGTCAACACATCTTAACAAATTGAGATCCGGAGTCCTTTTGTATAAGACCTTATCGCTTAAGAAGAAACCGTTTGCGAGCCGTCTAATGGTTCTCTTTTGGTCTCTACTGGCTTGCTCGGGATACTCTTTCATTTTCAAAAATCTCTTGATGTCATTATACCAGGGTTGGACATTCGGTTCTACCTCAACTGTATTGTAGTAACAATGCCTTTCTCGGATTTGGATTTCTAACGGGTCAATGTGGGCATTGCCTGGGTATGGCAGCATTGAGGCCAAAGTAGCAAGTGCATCGGCCAATTTATTGTGACAATGAGGGATGTACCTGAACTCTACTAACTTGAACCGCCTGCTAAGATCTTCCACATGTTGCCTATAAGGAATAAGCTTGACATATCGAGTTTCCCATTCTCCCTGAGCTTGTCGGATAATCAGATCCGAATCTCCCATGATCAATAATTCTTTGACATCTTGGTCGATTTCCATATTCATACCCATAATGCAAGCTTCATACTCGGCAGTGTTGTTTGCACAGAAAAACCGAAGCTGGGCTGTGGCTAGATAATGCTGACCAATGGGTGAGACCAAGATTGCCCCAATTCCAATGCCCTTTGCGTTCACAGCCCCATCGAAGAACATTTTCCAAGCATGGGTGTCTTCTGATGTTGTCTCAACTGAATTTTCCTTTTCATCCATAAAGTAGATGCTCAAAGGCTGGTATTCATTGTCAACAGGGTTTTCAGCCAGGTGATCTTCTAAAGCTTGGGCTTTCATCATCGTGCGAGTGACGTAGACTATGTCAAATTCAGTGAGCAGGATCTGTCACTTTGCTAACCTCCCTGTAGGCATTGGCTTCTGGAATATGTACTTTAAAGGGTCCAAACTGGTAATGAGGTACGTGGTGTAGGCCAACAAGTAATGCCTCAACTTCTGAGCAACCCAAGTCAGAGCGCAACAAGTCCTTTCCAACAAGGTATATTTAGCTTCATAGCTTGTGAACTTTTTACTCAAATAGTAGATTGCCTGCTCCCTCTTTCCAGTCACATCGTGTTTCCCGAGGACAAAACCAAAATAATTTTCCAAGACCGTCAGATACAAGAACAAAGGCCTCCCCGGTTCAGGTGGGAACAAGATTGGTGGGTTCGATAGATATTCTTTGATTTTGTCAAAAGCTTCTTGGCACTCGTCTGTCCATTTAATTGCTGCATCTTTCTTTAATAGCTTGAAGATGGGTTCACATGTAGAAGTCAATTGAGCAATGAATCGGCTAATGTAGTTCAACCTTCCCAACAGGATCATAACCTCTTTCTTGATTCTTGGAGGAGGCAAATCTCGAATAGACTTTATCTTTGTCAGGTCTAACTCGATGCCCCTCCGACTGACTATGAATCCTAAGAGTTTGTCAGACGGAACCCCAAATGCACATTTGGCTGGGTTTAGCTTCAAATCATATTTGCGTAGTCGCTCAAAGAAGTTTCTCAAGTCCCGAACATGGTCGTCCTGGGTCCTGGATTTGCTAATAACATCGTCTACATACACCTCTATTTCTTGGTGCATCATGTCCTGAAAATGGCAGTCATGGCCCTCATATAGGTTGCCCCAACATTCTTTATACCAAAAGGCATGACCCTGTAACAGTAGGTGCCCCAGGGTATGGTGAAAGCTGTTTTTTCCGCATCCTCTTCATCCATCAACACATGGTGATATCCTGCATAACAATCCAGGAAGGACTATATCTCATGTTTGGCGCAGTTATCAACAAGGATGTGGATGTTTGGTAAAGGGAAATTATCATTAGGACTAGCTTTATTCAGATCTCTGTAGTCCATACACACTTGAGTTTTCCCGTCTTTCTTTGGCACTAGAACTACATTGGCTAACCATGTGGTGTATCAAACACCTCGGATCACCCCTGCTTTCAACTGTTTTGTGACCTCTTCTTTAATTTTGTCACTGATATCAGTTTTGAACTTTCTTTGCTTTTGTTGGATAGGGGGGTAGGGGGGTAATCGGGGTAGGTGGCAACTTGTGAACCACCAAATTGACACTTAGTCCTGGCATGTCATCGTATGACCAAGCAAAAACATCTTTGAATTCAAACAAAAGTTGGATCAATGCGTCCTAGTTTTTTCATCTGTGTGAATTCTTATCTTGGTTTTTTTGACTTCTTCAGAACTACCCAAATTAACCGGCTCGGTGTCATTTAAGTTCGGCTTAGGTTTATTCTCAAATTGTTCCAATTCTTGATTTATTTCCCTAAAAGCCCCTTCTTCATCATATTTTGGTTCTTAGTTCATTATTTCACAATTAGACAACATGTTTGGATCTGGGCATGATGTCTGCAAGTATGTCACGTTATTTAAAGCCACATTATTAAAACTGAAAGAAGAAATTAGAAAAAGTAACAAAATAAAAAAGAATAAAGAGATATGAACGATGAAATTTTGATTTCATTTCATTGAATTTTGAAGATAATAGGGTTTACATTGGAAATTAAAGACAGGAAACTAAAGAAAACATCCGAGTTATACCCTGAAATAACTCCTGATGCAGAAAAAGTGGAAGGACTGGACTACCGGGATTCCCGCCTGATTGGGAACGGAGTAGCCTTCCAATTTTGCAATTTGGCATTGGGCCCCATATACAGCACCTCAGCGGTGCTCGAGCCTTCTCCCGGTTGGACCATATGGGTTTCATACAACATCTTCCTCATAGCCCCATAGATTTCTTCAATTTCCTCGGCCGTGAAGGCCTCATCTTCCTCATCCTTATTGTACTTGGGCCTAACAAATGTTCTATAAAGATGCAGAATCGGCTGAGGCAAGACCCAACCATTAATCTTTTGTTTATTTACCCATTTTTCATCAGCTGGCGTGGGTTGGAAACCTACCCCAAAGGACTTTTCGCTAGCTGCCAGAGTGATAGGTTTGGTGATTCCTTACAAGGCCGTCTCGAGCCCCTTTCCGAGTTTGTAACCATGCCTGATCATTTCCTTGGCAACCATAATTGATGCATTTGAGAGAAAGGGTTGAGGACAAGGGTTTCCTTCTTCACAATGGTCTGCGATAATAACCTCAAAAGCTTGATAGACTATATGTTCACTTCCTTCCCTAGCCTCGAGACATGGGATTGATGGGTCCCGGTAAATCAACTGCTCATCTTCTCTATGAACTATAATTTCCTGATCTTCATGTTCGAATTTCACTATCTGGTGGAGAGTAGAAGGTACAGCCCCTGCTGCGCGAATCCAAGGTCTTCCCAAGAGGAAATTATAGGAAGTATCCATATCCAGGACCTGAAAGGTCACCTCGAAATCCACCAGACCGATAGTCAGAATCAAATCAATCTCACCAATGGTATCTCTCTTGATGTCATCACAGGCACGCACACAAACGTTGTTGGGCCTGATTTTCTCAGTACCAATCTCCATTCTTTGCAGAGTTGAGAGAGGGCAAATATCTACTCCAGAACCACCATCCAGCATGACCTTTTTCACATAATATCCCTTGCATTTAACTGTCAGATGAAGGGCTTTGTTGGGGCAGCCCCTTCCGGGGGCAAATCATTCTTGTCGAAAGAGATTTGATTGACTACAAAAAACCTTTCCGCCATCCTCTCCAACTGTTCCACAGTGGTTTCAATGGGTACACATGCTTCATTGAGAGTTTTGATCAACACTTTTTGATGTTCAGTTGAATTCATTAGCAGAGACAACAAAGAGACTTGATCAGGAAACTTCTGGAGTTGGTCAATTATCTCGTACTCCATCATTTTCATTTTTTGGAAGAAATCTTCTGCTTTTTCAGCAGTCACTGGCTTCTTGAGTGGGAAACGCTTTTTCGTGGCATGATTCACTTCCTCCAGATTGAGGTATTTCCCAGCCGGGTTATTTTCCTTAACTTCTCCCGAGATCTCTTTACCCCTATAAGTTACTACTGCCTTGTTGTAATTCCATGGAACGGCTGTAGGATCTGTCATGGGCCTCTGCGGTGTGCGGCCAATAACCACGGGCTCATTTAGCCTTGGTGAATTACTTTCCCCTACACCACGTAGGTCCCTTTAGGCATATACATTTTAGATCCCTTGTTTAGCTCAAAACTTCTTGGAGGGCTCAATGTCACTTGTTCTTTCCCGTAACCCCGGGGAATATAGAGAACGACATCTTTTGAGGGCACTGCTCCAGCTTTGGTTTCCTCTTTCTTTTCTATATTTTGAGGGGTGGGTTTACTCTTCTTCCCCCCTTTTCTTGTTTTACGGCAGCCTTTGGCTTCTTTTCCACATTGACTATGGCAATGATGGCTTTTAGGGCTGAGTCAAACTCTCTATCTTTACAAATCATTCCAATAATTGGCCCGTTATTGTGAGCTGGTAATGGATTGTTGGTTACATTAGGAATGTCTTCGTCCTTTAGCACTATTTGCTTTTTTTCTATGAAGTTTTCCACAGCTCTTTTCAGGGTCCAACAGTCATCTGTATCATGCCCTTCCGCCCCTAAGTGGTAAGCACATCGAGTACCGGCTTTGTAAGCGAGCGACGCCGGGTTCTGCCTAGTTTGGGGTACAGGCTGCAACAAATCCATCTAAATAAGTTTGGGGAAAAGGCTGGAATATGACTCACCAATGGGTGTGAAGTTTGCCATCTTGGGTGGTTCCCGGGCACGGGCGTTGTGGGGGAAGTTGTTCTATGGAGGTCGGGGATTATACTGAGCTTGGTTAGGAGGTTGATTTCCGGGAAATGGAGCTCGGTTTTGATTGAATTGTTGTTGTGGCCTAACGTAGGGTTGGTCATTCATCACTGCGTATGGCTGAGGAACCATATCATAGGCCACATCCTGATGGGGGTAGTAATGGTATAAGGTTCTTTCAGGGAAATAAGGTCTAGGTTGATGGTGTTTTCTTACACTTGAAGTTTCCATTGCTGCTTCTTCCCTCTTCTTTCGATTTGCTACACCTCCAGACCCGCCTTGAGTTTCTTGTGAGGTAGCCCTTATAGCAGACTGACTCAAGATTCGCCCTGTTTTTAAACCATTCTCAATCATTTCACCGATTTTGATGGCCTCGGCAAACGGCTTCCCCATCGCGGACATCATGTTCTGATAATAATCAGCCTCTTGGGTTTGAAGAAAGACACTAACTATCTCTGTTTTTTCCATTGGAGGCTTGACTCTAGTTGCTTGTTCGCGCCATTTGACACCATACTCGCGGAAGCTTTCCGAGGACTTCTTTTTTAGATTTGACAATGAATTCCTGTCCGGGGCAATGTCGATGTTATATTGAAACTGCCTGATAAAGTCCCGAGCCAGGTCATCCCAAATATGCCAACGAGATATATCCTGATCCATATACCATTCAGAAGCAATGCCGACCAAACTCTCTCCAAAGTACGCCATGAGAAGCTCCTCTTTTCTGCATGCTCCCTGCAATTGGTTACAGTACCTTTTAAGGTGGGCTATGGGATCCCCATGCCCGTCATACTTTTCAAACTTCAGGGTTTTGAAACCTAAGGGTAAATGCACATGGGGAAACATACAAAGGTTGGCGTAGGATATGCTCTTCTGCCCGCTCAAACCCTGTATATTTTTTAGACTCTACTCCATACTCCTCATCTTTCTAGTAATCTCCTCTTGTTCAAGGTTTTTTGTGGTTTTCTCCTGCCCCGCAGTAAACTCGTACCGATGCGGCTGAGGGTAAGCATTGGTAGTAAACTGGGTTGGTTCCATTGGGAAAGATGGTGCTTGAAATGTGAAGGAAGATGGATCGAAGCTAGGCCTGAGTAGAGTGGGTTGTGCCGTAGCTGAACAAGGTGACACAGTGAATATGTTTGAGGTCGCACCTGACATTAACACCTGGGGGTGAGCCTCGGAAGGTGTTCCAGCAAAATGGGCTGAGATGGTAGGATATCCCAGTGGGGTATATGGATAACTTATGGGGATATTGGAAGTCCCACTTGCCCTGGGAAATAGCCCAGGGAATATAGGGATCGCACTTGGTGGTTCTCTTCCGTTGGCCCAGGCGTCCCACATTTCCATCATGCGGAGACGCAGAATTCTATTTTCTTCAGCAGTTGCTGACTCAGAAGTTGGGATGGCCGAGATCGGGCTATCCTCCGGAATAGGGATTGTTGGCAACTGACTTTTCGAAGACATTTCAACACTTCCTTTTGACCTCGTGAAGTATGGATGTGAAACCAGATTACCACAAAACCAACCACCTTAATATAAAATTTGTACTTAATAGTAGACAGCAAACCGCTCAGTTTGAAGCAATTAACACATAGGTAATCACACGTTGGGGTGTGATGCACCTATACAGTTAAATGTGTTTCTACATGTTTCGCAACGGTTGCATGTTTCATCCCGGCTTTTGCTTATTTTCCCCAATTATCTTTTCTTTCCACTTGGGTCTTTGATGTTTCTCCTCTTATTCCTATTTTCCTCTCTTTTCTTTCATCTCTTTCCTTGCTCTTTTTTTTTCATTTTTCTTTTGGTTTTTCTTTGTCTCTTTTTTTTTGGTTTTTCTTTCAGTTCTTTCCTTCCACATTCTTCTTTTATTTGAGTTATTTACAAAATCATGACCATATCCGATGAGGATTGCCTACGTATCATGACTCCACGTGAATCAGATCATTATGTAGTTCAAGAAAATAAATGCGAAAATTAACGAAACAATTTTTGGGAATTTTCTATTTTCATTAATTAAACTGCTAAACTTTTCTATTACAAAAAAAACTACAAACAGACTCAAAACAACTTTTAAACTAAAATAATGAAATACAGACTCGATAAATGAAAATCATGAGTACATAAGTGCTTCGACTCCTGGGGCCCGTGGGACATCATTCGGTCTTGCCACAAGCCTATGCGCAAGATCCCCTTGAAGCCGCTCCAAATCACTCATTATTTGGCGGACAATTGTCATTACTACAACAAAGAAAGTGGTTCGAGTTATGTCCTCACATGCGTGGCATTTCATGACGATGTAGTCGGCAATTGCTCTAACCCTCTCCCGGATAATACCCTTTTCTTGAAGCAAGCGCCCGATTTGCTGAGTTTAAGCTTCTAGCACCTGAATGTCATGATGGTTTTGATTCTGCAACTATTGCATATCTTCTTCCATTTGGTCCATCAAAGCATAACAATGTTCTCTTTCGGCTTTAAAGTTTTTAGCCTGTTTGGCCGCCTCATTTGCAAGGATAGTTAGTTTTCTCTTCAAATCTATGATTGTTCCCTCATATTTTCTTTTAATCTGCCGTACAAACTCTGCTCGCCCTTCTGCATTCTTTGTCAGTTGTGCTCAAACTCTTGCTAGACTAGCCTCAGATTTTTCTAAGTCATCTTGACACTCAATTACTTTCTTTCTGAGACCATTTATAAGCCTTTCATCTGCTCGGCTTCTTTCCTGGTTCTTAGCAGCGATTCTCATTTTCTGGATCTGAGCTTTGACGGCTTCGTTTTCCTGAGCCAGCTTCTTCTTTTCCCCTTCATCGGCAGCATCTTGGACACTATTTTCAAATTTGAGGTCCATGATTTGTCCCTCTAATTTACTTATCTTGGCCCTATAGCTTGATCCTTTTGTCAACCAGTCCCATTACTCCCGCGAGTCGTTAGTTAATTACTGGACATAGGGTCTTTTAGCAGGTCTTTCGGGCTCTCAGAGGATTTGAAACCTTTTACCGAACCAATTCATGTAATTGGGGTCTACATCACCCTTAGATAGATCCCGCACCAGAGTCTTAGGTTCGAGAAATCTGCACTCATTCCAAACTTGGCGAACTCTCCCTTCTAGAAATACCGCCTTTGGGCCCAGTTCAACGACTTGTCGACTCAGATCTTTGTCATGGGCAATAGTTTGAAACCTGCCCAGTTGGCGCAAAACCTGGTGAGGAGCATATGGCTGAATGCTCCGGAGACCCATCAGGAGAAGATAACACACTTCGGCTGACATGTATATGACTTCGGTACAGGGAGCCATCCGAAAGTCCATCCAATTTTGTCCGAAGTTAAAGAAATCAAGTGTGCAAACCAAGCCTCTGTACCTTTTGGAAATTCAACACCCACCACTCAGTTTTCAAACTCTTCAATGCAATTCAAACAAGTCATGCCGTTGTTCATATACCCGACACGGTGATAGAGATGTTCTTGTATCCACAGTTGTAGGAGTAGGTTATAGCCCTGGAAGAATTTTCCCCCTTCTCGGCAGATGGTCAAAGCTTGATAAATCTCAAATAAGATCATTGGTATCAAGGTGCCATTAGCTTTCTTGAGCATGACATCAACCATTCCCATGAGACCCAATTCTATGTTGACGTCTTTTCTCGGACAGATTATGACACCCAAAAATGCCACTATAAAGGCCAAACCCCGTTGTGCCTCCCATTTATCTTTGTTTCTTACATAGGTCAGACCCATATTCGGTGTTCCAAAACCTTGGGGATTGCCATAGCGCCGGTACAAGAACTGGAAAGTGCAAAATCCTTCAGATAAATTCCCATCCTGAACCTCCCGACTAATACTCAACATATCTAGAAACTTGTGAGCAGACACTAATCTTGGCGACACCGGGTACCGACTTCTAAGATTTCTGCTCAGGCCAACATAGCCCGCAATTTCCTCTAGTGTGGGGGTGAGCTCAAAATCATAAAAGCAAAACACATTGTGAGTCGGGTCCAAAAAATGTATCAAGGCCTCAATCACATCTAATCTTGGTTTGATTTTCAAAATTCCGACAAGGCCACCCAAAACTTTTACCACAGTCCCTCTGCTGACTTTTCCTAAGTGTTCCACCACATATGGAGCTGTAAGGGGATTTCCTCAAGAGCTGCGAAGGGTTCATTTTCATTTGTGCTCATCATGCACATTTATTAGGGTGATTTAGTTAAAGGATCATGATTCATTTTGACTCAAGAAAAATTTATCACCATTTTTTCAAAATAAAATTCATTTCAAAAATAAAAAACCGGCTTTGCAAATCCGTCCCTTCAGCACTTCGGAAAAGAAGATTTTAGGGTTGTGTTCGCTAACCGGCCAAAATTTGAAAAAGAGACCATAGGTGGTTGTGCTTGCAAAAACAGCCTTCCGGCGCCCTTTTGGGGATATTCGACTATTTTAGGCAAGAATGACATCACCTTACTTATTTAAAACAATAATATTTTTGTTCTTTTTGGGTTTTTTTTTGAAAAAAATGAAGTTGGACCCGATGGGGGTTGCCTACGTATCCCACATCAGGTGAGAATCAAACTGGCGTAGTTTGGGTAGATTTGACAAAATAAAAACAACACTAACTATTTTTTAAAACAAGATTTTCTTTTTACTTTTTTTTCAAAATTTCGGTAGAGTTTCGGTATTTTTTGGACATTGTTTTTTTTTCAAAATAGGTAATTATCTCTCAACCCCTCAAATTGATTTCTTTTCTTTTTTTCTTTTTCAACTTTTCTCCTATAATTCATAAACCAGTCAACATGCAAATTCGAAGCAAATAAATACACAATAGCAAGTAGATTGCATCAGGATGGTCTTTTTATTTCGGGTACACATGTCCTAGACAGACCCAACCCCTGTGTTGACTCTCCAAAGTCAAATGCACGTGATGCAAAAATATGTTCCTACTAGGGATCCTGCATGAGGTTTTGTTATACTAGGTTTAAAACCTGGGTGTATTGTTCCAGAGCTGGCTTACCCGAGCGGACAGCTCGAGCCGAGGGGGGTAGCGTATCGAGAAAACAGAAGCTTCACCGGCTTTGTAACTTGTTTGAATCTCGTTCTAAAATTGGGATAATACTCTAACAGAAAAGAAGTCACACGAAGTGCACACTTTCCAGATGATTTAGAAGACTCAGAGAGAGGAGGGTTTCGTAGCAATTTATATACAATCCAAACAATATCAAAACGGTAAAAGCAACATTTAGCACATTAGGCTCAACATGTAAAAATCAGATAAAACAAGCCAACTATAACAGTTATTCTAAGATCAAATTCTTAAACCCTGAATAGTTATAATTGGTGTCCCAAGTCACTGGTTTATTTTTAAATCACAAATCAAGGAAATTCGACTTTCCTTTTGAAGTTTGTGAACCAGAAATTCTAAGTAAGGATTCTGTTAACCCGGGAGAAGGTGTTAGGCATTCCTGGGTTACGTGGTTCTAGCACGGTCGCTTAAACCATTATAATTGGCATATTATCTAATTTTAATACATGTTTTAGCCTATGATATATTTTAACTTATTAACCGCTTTTAATTATTTTTAGGAAGATTCAACGTTATTTAAAACACGCCTTGAACCACGCCACATGAAAAGCACCCGCGGTCCACGACACATTTTATTTAACGTTGTTGAGAATTGGAGTCGGGTCACATGAAATGCACACCCGAGTTTAAGGAAATGAATTTAAATAGCGCGCCTAAAGCAACTACACACTTTCAAGTTTACGAGGGCCATGTAAAATTCAACTAATGGCGCACCTCGATTTCTAAAGAGTTAAAATTAATTATCCGAGGGCCATGGGTTATCTATTTTTGCACTATTGCACACCTCAATTCTAATTTTAAAAGGAAGTTCGAACTAAACTTTTGAGGGCCATAAATTATATCTTACTTAATATGGCACGCCTCAAATCTAATTGTTCGAGTGATTTTTTAAAATTGTGAGGACCATAGACTATTGATGTTATTTAATATGGCACACCTCCACTTAAGAAAGCTTAATTAATTTAAACAAACACAATTCAGAACTATTGTTTGCATGAACATCCGCTACAGAAAAACGTTGGGCTTCTTGGCTGAACCCAAACCAAGAGAATAGACGGGCAAGGGACGGTCCAGGTTATTGGGTCCTTTCATCAAATGGGCTAGCATCAGGCCCAACTCTTAGAACCAAATAATTTGTACAAAATCATTTAAGCGCAAATCAGCTAAGGCTACATGAAACATGAAATTGAATTAACATTTTTAACTTCTGAATTTTAACTATTTAAGCACAAATCAACTAGTTGAACTTCTGAATTTCAACTTTCATGCATTTTGGGCCAGGTTT